GGGAAAGATATCCAACAAAATCCAGATCAACAGAATGAACACAAAGTTTTCGAGCAAGTTTCTTCTATGATTAGCTTTGCCAGTAGGAATCAATCAAAATAGAAAAGCCTCCTGGTGAAACCAGAAATTTATGCTTTGTTGATTCAAGATGAAAAAGAACATTCTAATCCTCTGGCCTTAGGTTGTGCTGTTGATTTCTAATCATCTGTACTTCATGTGCCGTCCACAAACTTGTTTCACATTTTCTACTACACAAATACATCCAGGTACATAATATCTAACTAGTAATCATGGTAAGCTCTCTGCTACATGATAACAAAATTAAACTGGAACAGTTTATTTGCACAGACAATTTTCATATACATAGTATAAACAAACAGAAACACAGGTTGACCAAGCAATGATAGTCAATAGGAGGATAAACCTGCATCCATCCTTTCCATTCTTCAGTCTGATGCCTATTCAGATACAATATAGATTTTCCTGAAAATGGCGACTTGTCTTGGTGGACTTTGAAAGATGTCATTGAGGCCACAACAATAAGAAGAAAGTAGAGAAAAAGAAAGAGATCACGGCTGTAGTTCTGCAGATAGAAGGCGATATAGAGTGAGCATTTTTTAAAAGTATATAACATTCTGCAACTATGCCAAACAACAATAAAATTGTCAAACCACAGTCAAACAGAAAGAAAATCATAAAAAATTTATGAACAAAAGAAATTGTAGGGGTTATTGCATTTCAGAGTTGTTTTACCATCAATCTATTACTAAAGGAAAGTTTCTAGAGACATGTATTCATGTATATTATAAGTAACAGCTCTCTGTAACTTCCCAAAGAAATAACCAGTATCACCTCAGTATTGCCAAGAGATAAGGTTGATAATTATCCAATTTGGTGCCTTTTTGGTCCTGAGTTTTAGCCTATGCAAGAGTTAATGCAGCTGTTCAGTCCCATAACAATTAAGTCAGACACAGATGACTACTGGGTAGCTTGTGACGATTTGAATTTATAAACTTCTCTCAACAGTATATAAATTGCAATAATAATTTTCCTTGTGGCTAGAGTATATAATCACCATTCTGATTATCAATTTTTTTGGGTTCCATATTGCCAAGTGCCTAACATTCTATTATATTAAGAAACAGTTCTTACTGTGACGAATATTCTTGATACATTTTGTAGGTACACACTTCCCTGAATTGCCAAGATTTTACCACAATAAAAAAGGATGAGAATACCAAGATCTGAACTAGTTGAAAACAGAACCCTACATCCAGAAAGGTATCACATGTAATGTCGAGTAAGGCTTGTTGGTCATGTTCTTTTACAAACATTGATTTTCTAGGTAAATTGCCAAGGGCTGCAAGCCATTCTATGTTGTGCTTTCACTCTGAAAGAGTTTTGCTGTGAACCAGCTCGATTCTCAAAACTTTCTTAACTGCAACTTTCTAAAAGCCCACACCTATCGAGCACAAATACTTTGATGGCTTGTTTTGTTTATATTGAGTACATGCCAAACACAGTATTGTACGATAATTCTTGGACATGGATACTTCCTCGAAACATCTGAATCTTAAAATACATTAAAAAATGATAATTTAGGATATGGCATTGAATACTACTTCGGAGAAGTTTGCTTATCTTAAATGTCGAATTTTGTCTTTTATTATAGACAAGACAAAAATATATTAATAAAAGAATTGTATATACATAATTCATAATAACCATCATGTTATGATTATTGAGATATAAATAATGAAAATTTAAGTTCAACCATAATTTTCTTATCATAATGCTATGTCAGTAAAAAAAATCATCATGAATTGTTTAAGGGTGCTAGTTATAAACTTTAAGACTATTAACAAATATCAAACTTCACCACATTGATTTGACATAGCAGTGCTTTCATATACCAAGTTGTACTAGTTACTATAATATCCATATCTGCATATATGCATCATAAATTAACACTATTTTCCATATATCTAGGTGCTTCAGTGTGGACAAAAACTCTGTAAAAGAAGCATGATATAATTTAAGCAACTTGAGAGCTAATCGTACCTTTTTTGACTCCCCAAATAGATTAGTACGATCACATACATAAAAATAGAGCAAATAAGCACCAAATTCTGATCTGAAAGTGCCATTTGACAAAAATCACAATCGGTAAAATCAACAAACATTTTATAATACAATAAAATAGTTACTTACATAGCCCTCAATATCAATCGATTCTCTAGCAAGAATGCTTCGTCCATCAGAAAGAACCTAAACAGCTCCAAAATGTACAATGAAATTTGACCTTAGCTAAGAACAGATAGCAACATAAAGCTTTCCTAGCAATACAGATGGTTCAAGAACATCAGATGACCAACCTTAAAAAGTGTGATGTGGTAGACAAATGGTAAGCTTTTGGAGATGCTGCTTGAAGACCACTCTCTAATAACACAGCTTGATCATCTTCTTTGTTTGCTTCCTTATCCAATACAACCAAATTGACGTCCGAGTTTCTGCCGCTGCAGAATGAATTGTAATTATCAGTTGCTGTTTAAGGCTAAACTTTAAGACAACTCCGGCTTACTCACTGCAATCCAGAACAGACATGAAACTTCGCAGAAATTTAAGATTAAAAAATAGAACAATTTGAAGGACTAACTAGTACCTAGTATGGTAGCAACTCATGCTAAGATAATTGGATCATATTAGTAGTTCATCTTGGTGACATCCTCAGTCCACAACAGCAAACAGCTCTCCCATACCATCACCTCGGTCGAAACACCACCATAGCTTGACCAGCCAAATGGTGGGGGTGGGAGATAAAGAATCATTTTGTTTATCATTTATTTCAATTCAACAGTCATTCATCCTCAAATAGCATTTCATTGTGTTGGCATAGATCCATCATTGTTTATACTCTATACCCATCTAATCCATAATCATCTAAAACAAATATGATTGTCCAAACTCATTTCCTCCAAATAACCAAAGATCATCAGGTTAAAAGGCTTCCCATATTATACATATGTTTCTCCATCTAAAGACAAAAAGGTGAATGCCCAATTCATCAACTTCATATCTGATCAAATTTTAAGATGTATCAAGTATCACCACATGTTTATGATTTGACTGCCAAGCCCATTTCACTAAGTTGATCGTAAAATTATCTTCTCGAGTCTATCTACAACTTCATCAATGACATCATCACTTCTTTGGTGTCACTAATCAGCATAAGGGAAGCAAAAATTTCATTCAACTTATAGTGGCAACATCAGCTCTTTGATCTCAAATAGCCAGTACCGCTTAAGCTTATTTCATATGACATTGGAGCGTCATATAAACAGAAAGCTAGCTACTAAAGCAAATTCTGTGTTAAAATTTGTATCATAAACTCCACCTTGTGGTGCAAGATAAAATGGCCATCACTCCAACTTAAGATGAACGACAAAGTATTAACAGCAACTAACAGCAAACCTACAGGAAAAGATCTATCTGATATAAATGGAAAACAACTCACGCTTTCAAGGGTGCTGAATTTTTCCTGTACTGCAAGAATTCTGAATACACCCATGCTGCCAAAAGTGGAATAATTCCAAGCATAAATGACACCTGTCACAAGCAAAACATAATACATTAGTTCACAAGAAGCCAATGAACTGCTTTTTACGGCGTTCTTACTGCATCGAGGAATGAAAACCGGAAACAAGCGAGATCTGATTGGAGTTAGATAAATGCTTAAAACATATCTTGTAAATCACTTCATTTTCAACATTGTAATTCATGAATATAACAAAGTGTAACGGAGTCATCAATTCCGAATCTATAAATTGAAATCCAAAAGCAAGAGACTGGAAATGCCGTCCTTCATAGATAAGACGACCGATCAGAGAATTCCGTTCACCTCTTAACACCTTGAACACCACGGAACCCACTACCCAAAACCCTAGGCTCCGCAATGTCGCATCGCAAGTAAAAAACACATTCGAACACACGAAAAATCCACGAATCCTAGCATATCATCTGTATCCGACTTCTCGTATATCCAACGAAATGCAGCTCGAAACAAGAACCCAAATCGAAATCGCTCGACACTCAAATCGACCGAAGGTAAAGGGAAATATTTCAATTAAACGACAAATCGGGTCAAAAAACCATCAGATCTAGCTCGATTCCCTTTACCTGCCCCGCAGTTACAGGGCCAGAGATCTCCATCGACGATGGAAGAGTAAACAGCAGATCTACAAGGAGAAGAGCCCAAGATCGAGGAGTATTCGATGGATCGATCAGATGAGAGCACCAGATCCGATCCCCAAACTCATCTCATTACAGCCACAACCAAGAAATGACCGCAAGAGGGATTGATCGAGCGCGTAAATGCGAGGTTGGGTGAGCGGCGGTCACCCAAAGACAGCAACCCGGAAATAAATTGAGTTCGAGATCAGTGACGCAGGATGAGTTGTTCGTTTGTTAGATGATCAGAATCACGGGGCTGCCACTGTGAGCTCCGAGGTGACGTGTCCCTCTTTCCGTGTCGGTGCCGCCAAGAATGCATGCGATCCCAGTGCGATTAGGAATTGATGTTCCAATCGATCCAACTCAATTCGATTGGATTCGATCCGTTTTGTCTTGTAAATTAAACCGAGAGAACCACTTATCCTAATTTCAAATTTATGTCATTACATTTCTAATAAAAATATATGTTGGTATAAGTTACGTTTCATCGTACTTAAATAATGTGGCAATTTGCGACTTTGACGATTCATCTTACTCAAATAATGTGACGATCTTACTATAATTTGGTAAATGATGCAAGCGGGATTCGGGGTTGCTCATTGTAGTCTATGATGCGGATGACGAAAACTGACGGAATATACCTGGAATATTCCGCTAGATTAAACGCGAGGGATTCATAGTGGAGCGACCTTCGGCTCTACGACGAAAATGACAGAATATACCCGGAATATTCCGCTAGATTAACCGTAAGGGAGTCATATTGGAGCGACCTACGGTTCTCGTACGACGAGAGCGAGTTGAAGGGGCATCTCTTCCCGTCGCCGTTTCAGCCACGATCTCACCGTCGCTGACGCTGCCATAAAGGCGTCGAAACGATCAGCCCTGATGGAAGTCCTCGTACGGGTGTCCCTAGGATAGCAAGCATGGATGTCGCGTGTGGACTTGGGGGCTCCTTTAGGGTTTTAGCTTCACTCAGTAACTCCCTCCGGTGAATTCAACACAAAGGTAGGCGATATTGTTTTATGTCGAATTTTCTTTGGGAATTTATCTTTCAGGATTTAGCAAAAAAGGACGATCTTGCAGTTCATTTCTTTCCGTTTGATTCTTTGTGTTACTAGGCTTCGGTAAATTACTGCGCCATAGCTCAATTTACTCTTCGGGTTCATTTAATTAATGCTGGAGTGTGGCTAGAGTGTGGAAAAAACGCTTCTTTGGAATTAAATCACGAAGCTTTAGTGATTGACAATGTTACGTTTGAGATGATGCGTACTGGGACAAGCTTCATTGCAATTCTCTTCTTTTTGGGAGAAAGAATACCTTTGGTTGTTTGTCGGAAGATAGGTGACTGAGAGAGTATTCCTTGTTTGTTTTTTTTTTTAAATCGTGGTATCTAATATTGGCATTCTTCATAACCATCTGAGAAGATAATGATGGCTATTGGGTGATGAACCTCGGCTATGGCCAGATGTTGTTGTGTTGATCTTGGATATTTTTTTGATATGCAATCCATTGGTGGAGATTGGTGATCCTTCCTGGAAACTTGAATCATGTATCTCAGAGAGGGTCGCTCCTTGTTGTTGAAGGTTCGAAATCCGGTGATGCCAGTGGTCCTCAATATGGATTTGGTCCCTGATGGTAAGCGAGAAAAGGTTTCAAATGTTTCTGAAGTGAAAGAGACTGATGTACTGAAGAGTTTACATTCGGAGAGGAATGTTGCGGTTGCACTAGATTATTTCAGATCTGTAGCTGTATCAAGAGGCTTTAGGCACACACGGCTCACATACCAAATTATGATTGAGAAACTAGGGAGGGAAAGTCAGATGGATTCTGTTCAATACCTCCTGCAACAAATGAAGCTGCAATGTCTACCCTGCTCCGAGGACATACTTGTCAGCGTCATAAGCTCATATGCTCGAATTGGATCTGCAGATCAAGCTTTAAAAACATTCTATCGCATTCAAGATCTCGGTTGCAGGCCGACTGTGAGAATCTATAATCATCTTTTGGATTCATTGCTCAAAGATAACAGGTTTAGTATGATAAATCCTATTTACAGTAACATGAAGAAAGAGGGAATAGAGCCCAATGTGTTCACATACAACATTCTTCTCAAAGCTTTATGCCAAAATGATCGAGTAGATGTTGCATACAAACTTCTTATTGAGATGGCAAATAAGGGACATTCTCCAGATTCTGTGAGTTATACAACAATAGTTTCTTCCCTTTGCAAGTCTGGGAAGTTAAATGAGGCTAAGGTGCTGGTTACTTGTTCAACCCCATGTGTACCTACTTATAATGCTCTCATAAATGGCATGTGCGAAGAACTTAGAATGAAAGAGGCACTATGTTTTGTAGATGATATGATAGCTAGAGGATTATTCCCTAATGTAATTACCTACACAACAATTCTTAATGCATTTTGTAAGGTTAGAGAAATGAGGTTGTCCCTCGCTATTTTGGCTCAAATGCTGGTTAAAGGATGTGCGCCTAATATCCTTACTTTCACATCTTTGATAAAAGGTTTTTTTGAAGAGCACAATATATCTGAAGCTCTCGATGTTTGGGATAGGATGATTCGGGACAGATGCATGCCCAATGTTGTTGCATACAATGTCCTTGTTCATGGTGTTTGCTCTACTGGTAATCTGAAAAGTGCTTTATCTGTCTTTGATGAGATGATTCAAAATGATTTTCCTCCTAATATTAGAACTTATGGTTCTCTTATTGATGGCTTCTCGAAGCAAGGAGACCTAGAAGGTGCAATGTCAACATGGAACAAGATGATGGACAGCGGTTGCAAGCCTAATGTCCTCGTGTATACTTACATGGTGGAGGCATTTTGCAAGAACTCCATGTTTGATCATGCAATAAATCTTATCCAGAACATGATGTTAGAGGATTGTCCTCCCAATACAGTGACATACAACACATTGATTAAGCATCTATGTGACAGTGGAAGAGTGGGTTGGGCCATGAGTATAATTGATGATATGAAAATACAAAGGTGTCAACCAAACACCAGAACCTACAATCAGTTGCTTGATGGCCTTTGCAGAGAAGGAAACTTCAAAGAAGCTTTTACACTTGTGAATGATATGTTAGTGAATGGGATTGAGCTAACTTTGGTTACCTATAACACCATAATACATGGCATCACTCAGGCAGGTATGATCGAGGAAGCTTTACTACTTACTGGAAAGATGATAGTTCAGGGTGTACAACCTGATTCACTCACTATTAATGGAATAATTCATGCTTTCTGTGAGGAAGGCAAAGTTACAAATGCTGCTCGACTATTAGGTCTAATGAACACAGAAAATTGTTATAGGGATGTCTTTTCATACACTAGACTGATTTCTGGTCTTTGCAATCAGCAGAATTTAGAAGAATCAATGGTATATCTTCTGAAGATGTTGAGTGAAGGAATTTTCCCAAATGTTGCTACATGGAACGTGCTAGTGCGCAGCATTTCCATGAATATGGATTACTCTAGTTCAATTCAATTAGTGAATCATATCCTGAATTAAGGTGATAGTGATAGAGCATGGATGGTATATTCTTTGTTAACAATCATCAACAACGAGTTGGATTCTGAATATTTCTAGCCCACTTTATAATCAGCAGAATTTTCAGTTTGCTTCCTATCCTTCGGCGGCAGTTGCTTTTGCCATGAGCTGATACATTTTTGGGTGACACAAGGTTGAATTATAGTCTGTCAAAGCCTACAATTCACATAATACATGAGTTAGCAGAGACAATGGTATAAGAACCTTGATGAGCATCTTGCTATTTGATTAGTTTTGGGTAACAATAAATCTTGCTTCTTTTTTAGAAGTAAATATCCCTGCTACAACTACTTGCATTAGCCATTGACTGATGGTGAGGTACCTTATCTGTTCAGTAGATAAAAGGTTTTAAATTTAAGCCTCTTGTGTCAAAAATTTATCCTTGGCATGCTTTAACATGCCAATATGAGCTTCTGACCAACTGATAATTATTATTTGATTTAATTGATCTATGGCTCTATGTCTTCACTTATAGTATCCATGTTTTGTGGTAGATGCTTGCTTTGTATCTCAAGAGGTTTTCTAGCAGAATTCCCACAATAATAACTGGAGAAGTCATCCATCAAAATCCTAGAGGAAGACATCTCCAAAGTGAAATTTCTTGGGGGACATACAAATGCCAGTATTATTGAGGATAACTACAGGAACTTCTCGATGCTCTAACTTTGTATGAAATGTATCTTTACTGAAGTTGATAATCGGTGCTAAATGATTTTACAGATTATGGCACTTATCCATGTGAAGTAGATAATAAAATGTTGCTACATGGTCCCACTTACATCAGAAGTATGTTGTTAATTTCTACTTAACATTATATGCTATTAACCTATTGCAGCCTTTTCTTATCTTTAAAGCCTTAAAAAATGTTCAAAAATGTTAACTGTACTTCGTTTCAGCTGTAAAATTTACAAAACCTTCAAGAAGATATGAAGTCCATCAACTAAATAAATTCCTAGAGTTTCATTGAAGTATTGCTTGAGTTATCATAGATGAAATAAAACATGGACAATGATCTTGCAGATTCATCGAACATGATGAGCATTTTCAGTTATTTTTATATAGTCTAGGTGACTTTTGAGTTTTGATTGATATCACTTATTTTAAAATATAATTTATTTGATTCTAGTAGTTGAAACTGCAAAAGGAATTAAGGAGGTAAACTCGATATGTCGCCTCATCTTGGTTACAATTTCACTTCACTTGCATTCCTGGCTTTATATTTCCTTTTAATGTATTATATGGAGTATCTATGAATGTTCATGCTAACAGTTACATAATAGCTCGTCTTTTGTAGATCCTGTAATCTTTTCCCCTAAATGGTACAAGATTCATGTCAGGTTGGTTCATTACTAATGGAGTAATAATACAGTTAGATCTGTCTATTTTTGTTATTCTCCTTAATTGCTTTGAACGTGATGTTGGATTGGCTACTAGATGCTTGGCTTAATAAGTGATAAGTAAATTTAGGCAGACAGCATGCTCTAGGGCACTTATCATTTCTCAGCAACTTGTAGGTGCTACGTCAATTATAAAGTATTGTGGTAGTATGTCATTTTTTTGTTTTCTTCCAAACAATATTGGTTATAGTTAGGTTGAGTATTCTGCAAGTTTTCAAGGAAGCTTAGCATGCTGTCTTTTTAAAATGCTTAATTTTGAATATCACTAATCATGTTTTTCACCTCAACAACCTAAACATTTGTTATTGATTTTTAGTGTTCAATAAAATATTCTCATTTCATCTGATAAACATTTATTTCACATGATAAGTTTACTTGATTGTAAGATTTATGTAAACTTTGGCATGTATGAATTCTCCAGCAAAGGCATTATTAATTTGGATACAAACTCTTGGAATTAGATTGTCCATAGTTCAGATAGCAGAATTTAGGCTTAAGTTCCTACCCTATTATGCATATGTTCATTTCTCATCTCTTTGTTGGCCCTGATTGACATTTCATGCTATGATTCCCATATCAACTAAGAAGAATAACCACTGAATTATGACAGCTTCACATTTCTATACATCTTCTAGATGTTGCCTCATCAGTAAACAGTAAAACACCTTCTGAAGCTAAGCTGTACCAAGTTTGTGGATTTGTAACTTTCTAGAGAAGATTACCATAGCAAAGAGGACCTCTAATGGTCCCTGATAAAAACAGTCAAATCTGAGAAAAGTTGAAATCTCAGCATGACTTATCAGATGCTCTGGATTTACTCAATTTGGAATATAGGTTGGTTAGCAGCATGATTTGATTTGGCTGAAATGCTACCGAGAATTCACTGAGTAGTGCTTCTTTGTTGCTTAATTTTATGTACGATGATGTGATGATCTTGGCCTTGCTTAATCTGGACAGAGTTGATCGCTAGTGTTTCTCCAGACTGCATAGTGCTGCCCTGCTGCTTAATTTAGTCTTGCTTTATGCTTATAGAATGATATTTAGATGTGTATGATGATGTGATAATCTTGGTCTTGCTTAATCTGGACAGTATTGATCGCTAGTGTTTCTACTGCAATTGATATGCTTATCAAAGCAGTAGGAAGAGCTAACTCTTGTAAGTGTACTACATGGCCTGTCTCAAGGACTTTCAAATGATTGCAAGTAGACACTATCTAGCAGCTGGTACATTTCCAGTTTAGGAATGATGCATTGTTTTAGTATATGCACTTTAATTACTCAGTTCACTCAAATTTGGCTTTAACATCTGGTTATACCTCATGTTTACTGTCATGAAAACATGATGCATCAGATTCAACAAGCATTGCTTTGTGTAACTGTTTTTTTAGTCATATTACTAAAAGAATGACAAGCTCTGGACAATTTGGTGGAGCATTTTAGTCTTCTTTGAGGGTCTTAACCTATCATCATTTTTTTCCCCTATAAGTGGCAATCTCATGATCTCGTATGCTGAAGTAAATCTTATTTATCTACCACTCGTGCTCAGATTTAGATTAACTTTGGCTAGAATTTTATATTTCCTTTTCTTCACTGAAATACTGAGGCAAATGAATAATCAATTTCATATTTTGCCCTCTACTTCAAGCTGTTTTTTTTATTTTTTCGTGGCCTTACTGATTTTTCTGTTGTAACAGTATTTTTTAAGGCTAAATAATGTCTGCTTGTCAAGATTCAGTTGTATTTGGTCCTTTTGTTAATAAAATGATGTTTTCTTTCCTATTTGTCTGTTATGTAAACTTTGTTTGTCAGTATTACTTGCTAGAAGATATTGAACTTGTGAAGGGATTCTATGTACTCTACAAGTCTTGGTAGTTCCTTTGGAAGTTGCCTTGATTAAGAATACTTTTTACTGATTGATTCTGGACATTCATTCATTGGTCAAGTTTCTGTTTGATAGTTTTTTTACTCATAAATCTTCTCTTCATTTTGTTATGAATGAAAATTTCTCATCTAAAAAAATTCAACAGATGCTAGCTGAGGAGAATCCGATCCAAAGCTCTGTTACGTCCTCAAACAGAGAAGTCCAAATGATACGTAAACATCGGCTTATGAATAGAATTCTCGTGGACAATGAAAGCAGAAGAGTCAGAATCTGACCATGAGGGGAACGGAAAGACGAGATGTAGCAAACCCTCTGCATGTTTATGACTCTGATGATCTCAGTGGCAGCATGGACCAGCTTCAAGATCTACAGATAGTGTGGTGACATCTATCGAGGCAATTTTTGTCATTGGATCATCTTGAGTTGAAGATTCTATTTATGTAATCGAAATGTTTTTTCAGGCCATTATGGTTGATTCCACCTCATGATACAGCAGGGTCTCATGAGACTGGATGTTTGGTTATGTTGAAGAAGGATTTAACACAGATGGAGGAGATGAGGTTATTTGCTCCAAAGAGGATAATGTTGTATTTTCTTTTACACATTAATTTCTGATGCTGGACTTTGGTTGCATAGCTTAGGTCACCTAATTGTCATGGACGATTGTTGTGCACCCACAACATTTTTGCTTAACGAATTGTTCGTTGCTTTTGCATCTTTATACATATTTTTATATTTGGTAATATGTTTTGTTTTGATTTTATGTGTTTTTGCTAGAAAAAAGTAAGCAAGAATAGTATGCAGCACTACAATGCGATCGCTCACCACGTCGAGCAAAATTGTCCCAAAATGATTTTATTTTTGCATGTCACGACTTGTTTTATGTGAATCTAGTTTTGTCCAAAACATCAGTCATCTCAGATCCATGGAACCCCACAGGTGGCACAAGAGTGGATGGGGCTTCGAGGTAATATTAGGTATTGATCGGTATACACAAGTTCACACATTAATTTGATAAGAATTTGTCATCGCGCTCGACACCCGATGAGGAATCGTTTGTGGACTTGCGATTGTTCGTTTTGCTTTCTAAAGGCCTTGTTTTCTCCTTCCATTTTTTTCTCTTTGGCACTCGAAGTGTTTGCTAAATCACTTGTAAATCTTTCCTCTTTGCGAGACGTCGGGATTTTTTCATCGTTCGCTTTCGAACTAATCAACTTGCTCTTTTTATAGATCCTATAAGATCCGAGAGATATTATAAATTAGCTAACTTTTTGCGAGAGCATATCGCAAAGGCGTTTCATGACTTAGACAATCTTAACTAAGTCTAAAAAGTTGACATAAAAGTGCTTCACAACTTAAACAACTCCAATTAAATTCACGATTTTGTCACAAGAGTATCTTATGAGTTGAACAATTTTAACTAAGTCCATGACATAATAACAAAGAAGCCTATGTTTTATAACATATAACTCAAAAGGCTTATAAGTAGTCATCTGACTAAAACAGAATTTAAACTACCCATACTTGTGTACTTGGATCTTATTAGCATTATAATTTTTATACTTAAAAATTTTTTATTGAGATCTTTATAATCGTCGTCAGCTACATTGATGGAAAACACAATATATGACATCATGTGTTGGATCGATGTGAAAATAATGGATAAAAAGATAATTTTAATATTTCTATTATTTTTAATGATTTTATCAGTAAAAAAATAATTTTAACATATCATATATTAGAAGCGAAAGAAATATTCAAATTATCTTTTTGCTCAATATTTTAACGTCGATCCAACAACACATGATATAACATATTGTGCTTTCCATTAATATAATTGATACTGTTAAAGCAAATGCAATTATTTGTTTCACTTTCAAAATTATAGGAATCCAATATAAATTTCGATACTAATAGGTCCAAGTCTAAGGAATAATATGTAATTAACCCGATACTTATGTCATAATATTATATCAAGGAAAGCAGCAAATGCCCATTGATTATTTACCACTCTATTTTATTAAGTTAAGATAGGTTTTTAGCATGATAAGCTATAATAGACAAGTAGACAACAGCATTTTTTATGATGATACTGAGTTTGCTCCTCTATTTGACACAAATATATGAACTGCTTCCAGAGTTCAAGCTCTCCCTTCTGCCAGAATATTATGATAAAGTTTGTCGATCTCTGACTGCACAATGCAAACATGTAAAGTTGAAGGTTAATCACCAGAAACAATTAGAAGAATGACTGGATTAAATGCACATGATCATGCAGTCACCAGAGCAGAAGCACAAGATTCCACACTGTTAGACCCTCTATTTGTTTACCTGATAGAACTTCAGCATCTGTGCTCTTTTTTTCTTCATGGTGGGAGTCACAAGATCCCTTTCAATGTCAAATGGTAGGGGATCCACAAGAATCCCTTTAATGTACTCGAAACCTCTCAGCTGCAGAGTAAGCAAATAAGCAAAAAAAAAAAATTGTTAAAAATTTGATTAGTATTCTATAAATTCCACCTGAAGTTGATTGAGCAAATACATTTACTTTTTGAACCCACTTTTTGATAGTTCACCATTTGAATTCTTATGTTCCACATTGTTCAAATGTCCTTTAATACTGAAGTAAGATTATGCACCCTTTTTTTTTTACAAATAGGTGGCTGCATGATGATATGATCATTAAAAGAAACACAGAAGTGCCAATTGTGTAGGTTGGCTACCAGGGAGCCTTCACAGGCAAATACAGCTTCTTGGTAACATGGAATGCACAATGAGTTCTCAAGAAAAAGCTTCAACTCAAATCCAACACTAAATGAGTTAGGTTCATTAAAAATGGCACTGAAATAAAACTTTTAGAGAAAGAAGTTTAATCATAAGACAGTAAGTAACATGCTGAACATTTTCAAAAGTTGAAATCCAAGATTGGCTCTTAATATTAAATGATAAGAAAAACCCACTGTGAGTAAAGAAGCCTTTCAATCCATGGAAGAAAGGAGCAGCAGTTTACCTTATTGTTCTCAGCAACTGTCTTCAGCTCTTGAAGAATAAACTTATTTAAAACTTCAAGCTTACAGAGGTCACAGAATGATTCTTTATGGCCATTTTGCTCTGCCCATCTTTTGGCACTATCTTCGTGTGGTGTTACCACCGCTACAAGCATAGATCTAAAGCTGTCCCCATAAACCCAAATCTGAAATAAAACAATGCAGTTGTTAGAACATGAGAGGCATTGTGGACTATTTGAGTGACAGTGAAACTGACATCTTCAACAATTGGAGAAATTTTATATATCTTCTCCAAGTATTCAACTGCAACATATTCCCCTTGTGATAGTTTAAATATGTTCTTCTTTCTGTCTATAATCTTCAACACTCCATCAGGTCTCATCTCCCCAATATCCCCTGGAGAGAGCAAGAGATAAGACTAGAGTTGTCGCAGTGCTGTTTGTTCATTAGAATAACTTGCATTCATCTTCACCTGTATGAAACCACCCATCTACCATCACCTCTTTGGTCAGCTCAGGGTTTTTGTAGTACTCAGAGAAGAGTGTCTTCCCTCTTACACATATTTCGCCACGCGAAGGTGTTCCCAGCGGATCGTAGCCCAGCTCTGGTGCTTCTTCAAGCCGCACCTCAGAGTATGTAGATGCAACACCAACAGTTCCAACCAACGACATATCATCAGGAAATCCGACAGTGCTGAGTCCGCATGTTTCGGTCAGACCTTAAACAACAGTAAATCTCTGTTTACACTTCATGCAATGGACTCAGAATTAAGGAATAAGATACTGACTTCCAAGGTTGTAATTGGCAAAACCATCCATTCTATTTTGAATCTGAAGTAGGCAAAACCATTTCAGCAGAACAATTTTGCAAAACTGAGACTTCATTGAATTAGTACTATGGCAATAGAGTTTGACTTGAAGGCAGTGAAATAAGGTTATTATCTGTCCATCGTATACACTTTTTCACCAGTTTTGTATTCAATCTACTTCACTGTCAGATTTTGACCTCAAGTGTTTTGACTCAGCTGGTACTTGAACATAAGGAATTTGCTATATTGGAAACACTGATATTTAACAACATACATAAACAAAGGTTTTAATGTCCATAAGAGGCAAATCTTATATGTTAAGCTGAAGGAAATCTTCTTTTCCAAGAATGGAGGCAAGCTGGAATGCATGACATAAGAATAAAAACCTTTTAACCACTGATGAAGAATCTGCTACTGTGGAACCCTTCAAAGAAGTGTGAATAGTAGTTAACTAGTGCTGCTAGATAAATTTAGGGCAATCTTTTCATGTTTTACCAGGAATATATCATAGCTCTGCAATGAATTAACAGTTTGATGTGATCAAGAATATTTCATGTAGCCAACTATTGCATAATACCTAGCAGTCACTGAAGAAAAAAGAAGATAATTGTTTAATGACAGACAACGGAAGGACAAAATAGAATATAGCAGAAACAACTTATTTAGCTGCAATTATCAGTAAGCTAAATTCATAATATAGCTTTGATTCTAATAATTTGGTCAAATAAATGAACAGCATGTGCTTTACCGTAGCCTTGAGTAAGATAAGCACAACTAGTGACTCTCAAGAACTCCTCAATTTCAGGATTTAATGGAGCACCTCCAGATATTATAAGACGAACTCGGCCTCCCAGCCTAGCCTTCACCTAAAGTAACATCGATAACTCTAAGATCCGAATATGGAGATTGAAGAAAAACTTTCATGCAGCATGTGGTGTCAAGCTTCCAGCATAATTTCTTGACATGAATACAAAAAACGTGCTAAATTTCATGAGACAGAGACAATATATAACCTTTCGGAACGCCAACATGTCTGCAAATGGAGAAGCCGTCTTATGAGAATATCCTAACCTCATCCACCGTAGCTTACTGTTAATGAAACAAAAAGTGAACAATACATTGAATATAGCAAATTCTAATAAAAAATTGAAAGATATGTTCCAATTTACTGTTTGTATAAGGCATTGAAGATCATCCTTCTAAGTGGTCTGAGTTCTGATAATGCTTTCAGCACACCTGAAACCCAAAGCCATAGCTTTTGGAAACATGTAAATCAAAAGAATAAATTGAGAGCTGTACTGATGAAAAAGGTTGAGTGCCTTCATGAACTCTTTCGAAAACCCGAGGAACACCAGCAAAGAGAGTTGGCTTCAGCTCCATGAGGTCATCCCTCAAGGCATGAATGTCCTTGTCAATTGAAATTTTCATCACATCATTATCAACCGAAAGATAGCCATGGATCCAGAAAATGCAGCTGAATCTATCATGATAAGTAACCACAAAATTGCTTTCGCTCTCACTGACTGTATGAAAATATTTTGTCATACCCCTTGATAATAGCCAACGGAGGCCCCATTGTGGAAAAAATATTCTTCAATCATACGGTCAAGAATGTGAGCTAAGGGAAGAAAGGAGAGGTAGACATCATCCGTAGTCATCTAAAACATAAATCTCAAATCAGATATTTCAAGTCGGTATGCAATTTGAAAAAAACATGCTCATATACATTGAATTTCCTCAAAAGAGAAGGATTTATAGCCGAAAACAACAATACTTTAGATGGCATTCAATAAAATGGTCCTAAAAGAAACAATTGG